GACGAGCTGCGCAAAACCACGTTCATATTCGCGCGATTTTTTGCGCAGCTCGTCAGTGAACAACGGCTCTGTGTAGTTAATGCTGCTAAATGCCGGCTTTACTGATAAGATGCGCGTTAAATATCGCATGCGATTTATCGTGCAGCCCTAGTTTTTTTTTGTTTTCCTTTTTACGTTTTTCCTCTCATTTCTTTTATCAAGTCGCACAAATACTGTGTAGAAGATAGCGTTCATAGTATTGTGAACTGAACATCTCAACTACTCACACAGTAACTCAAATTTCATCACTTCCCATTTCACACACTATCAGTCTGGGATCAAACTCAGCTCTTGTTGTGCTGACATCCAGGGATCACAGGAGCAAGGGAGAGGGACAGTAAATCAGGGATAAGTAGGAGAGAAATCAGAGGAATACTATGAGGAAAGCTCATAATCCATGGAGCTGAGGGAATTTGAGGCACGCGATGCCTCAGCAGATCCACTTCACACTAAGAAATGCTTCTAGCCTCTCTAACTGATCTCAAATCAGTTCTTTTTCCCCTTTTCTTGTGTTCAGTGGGACCCCTGATCGGACGATACTGTGGCACGAAGATCCCTCCAGAGATCCAGTCTTCCACAGGTCTTCTGTCGCTTTCCTTCCACACTGACATGGCTGTGGCCAAAGATGGTTTCTCTGCCCGCTTTAACATGACTCACAAGGAAATTAGTGACTGTAAGTGTAATTTTTATAGGTAAAGTATATCATTTTCTGATCATGTCAGTTGTCTTACCCACCAACTAAAAGTAAACACTGTGATGCAAATCACTGTTCTGTTTGTTTGAGCCCAACTTCAATACATTAGACCAACGGTGTGAGTTTGAGGTGGGACTGTCTGTTTAGTTGACCAATTGTAGACTTGGACGTGTTTGACCTGTTCGCAATTTTTGTAATTCTGTTTGATGGCACTAGTGTTGTGTTCTCACACAAGTGTTGTTTGATAATGCATTGAGTTAGTGTTCAGTGATGCATCGAGTTTGATTGTGCTGAAAGCATTCTGTCATGCCTGACCAATGTATGTGTTCGTTTACTGGGGTCTGAAACAGAGAGGTTAAGTAAAAAGATACGATAAGTTGATGTTATTCGCTGTGTCGGTGTGATCCTTATCAAACGCAACAACTAGTGGTTCAGAAATTACACTTAAGTGCATGAAACGGCATTTACAACACAACAACAATTACGTAATGAAACATTTTAGAAAACAAATAGGCTCATTAATAATATATGTAAATTAAGTTAAAATATAAATATATTTAATTTTATTTATTTAATTATTTAAAAATGTAAATTAAATAATTTTAAAAGATAAATAATAATAATGTAATAAATAAAGGGCCCTATTTTAACAATCTAAGCGCATGGTCTAAAGCGCACGGCGCAGGTGCACTCAGGTTGTGTCCGAATCCACTTTTGCTAGTTTAACTACGGGAAAACGGTCGGCGCACCCGGGCGCATGGTCTAAACGGGTTGTCCCTATTCTCTTAATGAGTAATGGGTGTTTTTTGGGCGTAACATGCAATAAACCAATCAGAGTCTCATCTCCCATCCCCTTTAAAAGCCAGTTGCGCTCGCGCCATGGCGGGTTCACTATTTACATGGCGGAATGTAATTTTTCATTTTTAAAAATGTTTGTGTGCTGCC